GAAACAATTAGGGTGAGGTATGGGGGCAGGGTGTGGAACTTCCACACTGTTTGTAGGAACACCATTCTTCAAGTACCCCCACGTGTTCACCAACCTGGAAGCTCTTTGAACCCCAGACTTTGGGATTTTATGAGAAATTCATTACATAGGCATGATTTATTAAATCACTGGCCATTTATGATTAAGTCAATTTGCAGCTTCTTCCCTCTCCTTAGAGGTTAGAGGGTGGGGCTGAACATTTCAGCCTTCTTATCACATGGTTGATTCTCCTGCAAACCAGGAAAATCACTTCATAAATTACAAGGGGGTTAGGAGCACTGAATCAGAGATACAAAGCAAACATTAACTTCTTTTTATATTACAATATCAGAGGTACCAAGTTGACAAAGGGTAGTTTATGATGGTTAGTTGTATGTATCCACTTGACTGGGCCATGGGGTGTGCAGATATTTGATCAAGCATTATTCTGGGTGTGTCTGTAAGACTGTTTAAAAAGATTAACTTTTAAATCAGTCTACTGAATAAAGTAGACTGAGGAGATGAATAGACCAAACAGATTAACATTTAAATTGGTAGGCCTAGACTTCCCCCATTAATGTGGATTGCCTAAATCGAATGAAAAGTCTGAGTAAGAAGGAACTCTTCTTGCCTAACTGCCTACAAGATGGAATTTTGATTTTTCACTGCCTTTGGACTCCAGACTGAAACATCAGCCTCTTTCTGGGTGTGAAGGCTGCTGGTCTTTGGAATGGACTACATTATTAGCAATCTTGGTTCTCAGGCCTTCAAACTCAGACTGCAATTTTGCAAGTGACTGCCCTGTGTTTCCATCTTGCCAATTGTAGATCTTAGGACCTGTCTGTCTCCATAACCACATAGCCAATGCCTTATAATAGACCTCTTTATTTATAGATAGATAGATAGATAGATAGATAGATAGACAGACAGACAGATATTCTCTATTATTTGTGGTTCTCTAGAAAACTCTGACAAATACAACTAGAAAATAAAACAAAAGTAATCTATATTGGAAAAGAAGATGTGAAACTATCTCTATTTATAGATTACTTGCTTTTGTTTATTGAAATTCTAAAGAATCTATTTAAATACTATGGGAAGTAATAATGAAATTAATAGAATAGAATAGTTAATAGGTTATAGAATAAATGATGAATATTATCCCACAAGCACAGGGGACCAAAGCAAAAATGACAAATGGGATCACATAGAGTTAAAAAGTTTCTGCCCAGCAAAGGAAACAATTAACATAATGAAGAGACAGCCCATAAAATAGGAAAAAACATTCGCAAAATACCCATCTGAGAAGGGATTAATAACCAGAATATATACAGAGCTCAAACAACTCTATAAGAAAATAACTAATAACCCAATTTAGAAATGGGTAAAAATTCTGAATGGACATTTCTCAAAAGAAGATATATAAGTGTCAAACGGATATAGGCAAAAGTGCTCAACATCATTGATCATCAAAGAAATACAAATCAAAACTACAATGAGATATATCGCCCCAGTGAAAATGGCTTTTATCCAAAAAACAGGCAATAACAAACGCTGGCAAGGATGTGGAGGAAAAGGAACTCTAGGACACTGTTGGTGGGAATTTAAATTAGTACAACCGCTATGGAGAACAGTTTGAAGGTCCTCGAAGAAAAACTAAAAGCTGTGATATAATCCAGCTATCCCATTTCTAGGTATATACCAAGAACAAAGGACATCAAGATATCAAAGAGATATCTGTACTCCCATGTTTATTGCAGCACTATTCATATTAGCCAACATCTGGAAACAACGTAAGTGTCCATCAACAGATGAGTGGGTAAATAAAATGCATTTAAACACAGTGGAGTACTATTCAGACATAAAAGAGAATGACATCCTGTCATTTGCCACAACACGGATAGAACTGGAGATTATTATGTTCAGTGAAATAAAATAGGCACAGAAAGAAAAATTTCCCATGTTCTTCACTTATTTTTGGGAATTAAAAGTTAAAACAATTGAACTAATGGAGACAGAGAGTAGAATGATGGTTATTAGAGGCTAGAAGTGTAGTGGGGAAGGGAGTTACAGAAGTGAGGATGGTTAACGGGAACAAAATTAGTTAGGATAAATAAGATCTAGAATTTGATAGCACAACAGGGTAACTAAAGGCAATAACAATTTAATTGTGCATTTAAAAATAACTAAAATAGTTGGATTGTTTATAACATGAAGAATAAACTCTTCAGGTGATAGATACCACATTTACCCTGACGTGCTTATTACACATTATATGCCATCAAAATATCTCATGTACCCCATAAATATATACACTGACAATGTAGCCACAAAAATTAAAAATAAAGATTTTTTAAAATATCAATATTAAAAATTCAATTATATGCCATACAATAACAATGAACAATCTGAAAATAAAATTAATAATACAATTCCATTTCGGTAGCATTATAAAGAATAAAATATCTAGGAAAAAAATTAGCAAAGTAAATACTAAATGTATATGCACCTCTAGGTGCACTGGTGTAGAAGTCTCATCCTGCAGATATGGGGAGCCTTGACTCCATGGCTTGGTTGGGTGCCACCAATATGCAGCTCTCACTGGTTGAAGTTAGATGCCTGCAACACTCCCAAGCTGTAATCACAAACTCGTGGCTCTGTCTGTATGGGATTGTGGAGTGGGCACTACTCCCATGGATCTACGTTGTCCTAGTGGGGAATCTCTGTGATGGCTCTCCCCAATAGCAGTTCTTTGCCTGAGCCTCCTGCCTCTCTGGGGCATCCTTTGAAATCTAGATAGAAGTAGCTATACTCTCACAGCTTTGCTAAGCACAGTGCATACTGCATCTGGCTTGCTGCAGTTGCACCTGGGGTGGCTGCAGAGTGCTGTGACAGAATGTGGGGAACAAAGTCTGCCATGTGAAGTGGCCCCAGCAGTGGTGGCCCCTTCTTTGAAATTGTTTTGCCTCCCAGGTCCTTACACTCTGGTACTGTAATAAGAGAGACAGCCATGATTACCTCCAAAATGGCTTTAAGGTCCATTGTCTTGGATAATACGCCCTGGCTTCTGTTTAGATGATTGACTAATCTCCCCATTATCTGCATGAATATCATCTAGCTTTTGTTGGAAAGGTTGATCCATACTAAACTCATTAAGTTTGGTCACAGCATTTGTGTTCTCTCCCAAAAAGCTTTCTCATGTTTTCCAGTATGGATAGGCTGATACTTTTCCAAATTTTTACATTCCACTTCTGTTTTGATTAACTATTTTATCATTAAGTCATCTCCCTTCCTGCATTTTACTATAAGCACTCAATTACAAAAACCAACCATGCTGCTCCTTAAATGCTTTGCCTAGAAATTGTCCCAGCCAAACATCCCATTTTATTGCTCAAACTCCTATCTTTCACAAATGATTAGGACATGAACATAATTAAGCCAATTTCTTTGTTACTTTATAATAGGGATGGCCTTTTCCCAATTGTCCAATATCATATTCCCCATTTCTGCCTGAGACCTCAACAGAATGGCCTTTGCTGTCCATATTTCTATCAACATTATGTTCATAATCACTTAGATGTTCTCTAAGAAGATTGAGGTTCTCTCTACATCTCTCTTCTTCTATTTCTTCACCAAAATTTTCTTTAATGTTCTGTTCACTGCAATGTAGTCTTTTTCTAGAATGTACCTCAAAATGCTTTAAGCCTCTACCCTTTACCCAGTTCCAAAGTTGCTTCCATATTTTTAGGTATTTCTTATAAGGGCACCCCTACATCTTAGTACCAATCTCTGTTTTAGTACATTTGGGCTGCTATACCAAAATATCGTAACAGGGTAGTTTCAAATAAACGGGAAGTTATTTTAAAATTTCCAGAAATTTTAATGATTTCCTTTTGGAGCCTGGAAAATCCAAGATTAAGGTGTTGGCAAACTCAGTCTCTGGTGAGGGTCTTACTGGCTCATGGACAGTTATCCTTTTACTATAACATCACGTCAGAAGAGACAAGCTAGATTTCTGGGGTCTCTTTTCTCTTTTACAAACACACTAATGCCATTCTTGAGGACTCTGCTTTCATAACCTCCCGAAGATCCTGCCCCCCAACCCAACTTTCTAATATCATCACCCTTGGACTCAGGATTTCAACATATCAACTTTGGGAGGCACTAACATTCAGACCATAGCAATGATCTAGAATTAAGGCAAAACCTTCTTACACATGACACTAAAGGTAAGAGAACAAAATAAATAAATTGAACATCAAAATTAAAAACCTTCTTTTACTTTAAAAGATACCAACAAGAAAGTGAAAAGACAACTCATAGAATGTGAGAAAATATTTTGAAACTCCACGTCTCATAAGATACTTGTATATATAATCTAAGGAACTCTTATGACACTATAATAAAGAGACAAATGGCCAAATAGGAATAGATACACTACTGAGAAGATAAACAAATGGCCAATAGTCAATGACATATCACTTCACATCCACTAGAATGGCTATAACCAAAAGAAAAATACCAAATAATATCAAAAGTGTGAGGAAACTGGAATCCTCATACACTGTTGGTGGGAACATGAAATGGTATGGCTGCTTTAAAAACCAATCAGGTAGTTTAAGGTTAAACATGGGCAGGGCGCAATGGCTCAAGCCTGTAATCCCAGCACTTTGGGAGGCCGAGGCGGGTGGATCACGAGGTCAAGAGATCGAGACCATCCTGATCAAATGGTGAAACCCCGTCTCTACTAAAAATACAAAAAATTGGCTGGGCATCATGGCATGTGCCTATAATCCCAGCTACTCAGGAGGCTGAGGCAGGAGAATTGCCTGAACCCGGGAGGCGGAGGTTGCGGTGAGCCAAGATCGTGCCATTGCATTCCAGCCTGGGTAACAAGAGCAAAACTCTATCTTAAAAAAAAAAAAAAAAGGTTAAACACAGAGTTATGACATTTTCACAGGATTCTTAGGGGCTTGCTTTACCAGCTGGAAACGTTTGTGTCTGGTGGTGCCTTTGCCAGAGTTTTGCTTGGACTTGCTGGGCTCCTTCTTCCTATTTGGCCTGGCAGGCTGCACTCGGCTTACACTACTGGCCCGAATCCCATACCTGCAAAGGATAAAAAGGTTGTGGAGTGGTGAGGGGTGCATGAGTGAGCCAGTGGTCCAGCCACTGGGTACAGCCAGGCTTACTGGTTATGGTGGGGCAAACAGTTCCAGTCACTAGCACAGGAACCAGTTCCCTGTGAGCCTGGACTGGATCAGGCGTACTGCAAGTGGGTTCCACTGCTGGCCCCAGGGAACATGGTGGTTCATGGAAGCTTGGAGATGCCAGAAACTGCAGAGCCCCAAAGAGGGTGTCAGAGCCCTGGATCGGGGAGCTTCTAGTTCTCGACCCCCAAAGAGCTACAGCTCTTCTTATCACCTGCAATGTGGCAAACAAGGGGCATGTTTCAGCCCTGCTTGTGTTACAGCTCTTTCAGTCCCACCATTTGGTGGGTCCTAAGTCCCTGTCCCACATCCAGGAAGAATGAGGTACATGAACAACTGGAGGGTCAGTTAGGTGAAGAGGTGCTTTATTGAGCAACAGTACAGCTCTTAGGAGACCTCGAAGTGGGTAGCTTCTTTCCACAGGCAGGTCATCCTGATGTCTGCCCAAGTCTGGCTGAGTCAGGGGTTTTCATGGGCTTCAGGTGGGAGGAAGTATGTGCTGATTGCTCTGTGGGCAGCCATGTGTGGCTGGGAAAAAGCACTGTAAGTTCTAATGTTGGTCCATGGAACTGGCAGCCTGCCCCTCAGGCTTCAGGCTGTCCCAGGCCTTAAGGTGGGGTATTACCAGGGATCCTGGGGGCCAGGGACATTACCTGATGTCCCTGGCACCCAGGCTGTGCTGAGGGGCACCCACAGGGCCACATCAAGCCACCCTCACACCCCCCACCCCTGCCTCCCTCCAGCATGTTCCAAGTCCGGAGAGGAGGACAAGGCAGCAGGGGATGGCATGTCAGTGCTGCCTGGTGCGTACACACACCCAGCTAGGCCAGGATGGCACCCAGGCTCGCCTCAACTTTGCTCTGAAATTAGAGCAGCACTGGGAGCAGGGAGAGGCTTGGCAGTGGGAGCAGGCATTTCTGAGTCTATGGGATCAGGGCAACTTCCAGCTGTGCCCAGGAGGGTGGGGCTCCCACCCCTCCAACTTGGAAGGAATGAGGCTTCTGCCTGTTCTTGGCTCAGGCTGGCCTGTGGAGTGCATATCCCCAGCAGTCCCTTCCTGCTGCAGCCAGTGTCTTTGCAGCAACTGCTCCATTTGGGCTGCTGTCATCAGTATGACCTAGCAATTCCACTCCTAATGTACCCATGGGAAATGAAAATAGATGTCCAAACAAATACTTGCATGTAATTATTCATAGCAACATTACTAATAATAGCCAAAAAGTAGAAACAACCTAATGTCTATTAACTGATGAAATTATAAATAAAATGTGGCACATTCATACAATAAGATATTATTTTGTGATGAAAAGGATGAAGTACTAATATGTACTGCAGCATGGATGAACCTTGAAAACATTAAACTAAGTAAAAGAAACCAGTCACAAAAGACAATTATATGATTCCATTTATACGAAATGTGAAGAATAGGCAAATAAATAGAGATAAAAAGTAGGTTTGTAGTTCTAGGAGCCAGGACTGAGGACAAATAATAGTGACTGCTAGTAAGTATAGAGCTTCTTTTGGGGGGTGATGAAATGTTTTATAATTGATTTCAGTGATGACTGTACAACTCTGTGGACATACTCAAAACCATTGACTTGTATGCTTTAAATAAGTGAATTGTATGCTACGTGAATTATGTGTCAATAAGTCTCTTATTTTTAAAAAAAGAGAAAGTAAATAAATGTTAGAGTCTTGCTTTTAAGATATGGTTCCTCTAGATTCTAAAACATCTTCACTTAAGGCCACCAATAAATGTGTATGATTTATTAAAATAATTTTTTTCTAAAGTTTTCTTAAAGGAAGTAACTTCAAAGGAACTTATGTTACAGTAATGAAATGAACTGCAAATAAATTTTTACTATACTGGTACCATTTAAATGAAATTCTATGACAGCAATGATCTGTCCTGTGAGTCTGTCCATGAAGCTGAAGCTTTCAAAAACAGTTAAATGTTTGTTTTAAGTTAAAAACATCAACACTTTAGAAAAAAGCTTGGCAATATTAAGCTGTGTTTAAATTAGTTCATTTATAGAATTAATTAGGTAATATTTACTGAACAACTTTCTTACTGTGTTTACAGTTTGCCCTACTCTGTATTTTTAGTTTCATTAGATAATAAATTTGCTTTTTGTTTTTAAAGAAAATTCCTAGGTTCCTTCCTTTGGTAGTAGGATTATTGTATTCAGTTAACAGAAAAGCAGGCCATAATAGGTCATGGAATTACATGCATATTCCATATCCTTTGAGTTTTGCTACTACAGAGATGTTTAAAAATACCTTATTAGTCTAACACATTTACTTATTTACTTGTTACAGTAAATGACAGAGGGCTTGAAATTGCCAGTTTCCCATAATAGTAAGGAAACTCTTTTTACAAAACACATATTCTAGTCAAAACTACAAAGCATTATGTTACATTATAAGAACTGACCCAAATATTATTGCTAGAGAGTCCAAATGAAATATGGGTCAAATTTGGCAACCATATGCTACTACTTTAATTAATAATTAATAGCAATAGTAATAACACAATTAAAATTGATATAGGTCTTTAGTTCATAAATGATTTCACATATATTAGTTTCTTTGATTCTTATAACTTTTGAAGTATATGTTATCAATTATCTCTACTTTGTTGATGGGAAAATTGAAGCTAATAAGTTAAAATACATGTCTGTGTTCTTTAAGCCAGTAAGGAATTTCATGTAATGATCTGTCCATTTGCAGAATAACTGAGTGTTAATCACAGGGTTAGGGGTATGGCCCCTTCATCAGATTAGCTGTGCCTCATTTTAATCACCTAGAATTAAGTGCTTTTAGGTTGTAACTGTCATTGGTGCTATTCAAGTATTTTTGACCCCCTGACTACTGAGCACAGAGTATTATTGTACTTCATGACCCCCTTCAGGTTGAGTGGAGCGCACAATCATTTCTGGCCAATGAGTCATGAGCAAAAGAAACATGAGTTACTTCTGGGCCAGAAGGGGTAGGATGGAAAGAAAAATTCTGCAAGTGGGTTATGAGGTGTAACTGCAAGAGAAGTCACTCCTACTTCCACTCCTTGATTCCTGGGCCCATGTGTTCTACCTATGGGAGAGACTGTACCATATAATGGACTCTGATGCCAAGTGTACATTGCATCCTCCAAGACAGAAGCCCATTATTTCAGGATGTTGTCTCCAAAATGGCACCAAAACTGAGTCTACAGTAAGCCAATCCACCTTTCAGTCAAGCCAGCTACTTCCAAGCTATAAAATACACAGTAAGAATAGTTGGTTTTATGTGCATGAGCCCATGATGACTTCTTTTACTCTGAAGTGAGTTCCTTCATCAGATGTGATGCTCCATGGGATGCCATGGTGGTGAATAAGACATTCTCTGAATCCATAAACAGTGGTTTTGGAAGAAGTATTAATGGCAGGAATGGTAGATTTATATCCAGATTGAGTTCATTTCAGTGAGGATGAATCTCTACCTACTCCATGAGGGCAGAGATCCAACATAATCAACCTGCTGCCAGATGGCTGGCTTGGTCCCTATATCCCAGGATCGGTGCCATATTGAGGGCTCAGTGTTGGTTTGTGCTGTTGGCAGATTAGGTACTCAATGGTAGCATTAGCCAGATCAGCTTTGGTAAAGGATGTTCATGTTATTGAGTCCATGCATAGCTCCATCTTTGCCACCATAGCCACTTAGTTCGTGGACTCATTAAACAAGGAATATAATGTCTAGGGGAAAATGTTGACTGACATCCCGGAGTGCATAATTCTACCCACTTAAAGCCTCCTCTGCAATAGTGGCCCTCTGGTGGGCACTTCACATTCACAAATAACTTAACCTGTGGCCATTCTGAAAAGTCAACCCACATGCTTCTTCTGTAAGCTCCCTTTTGAGTAATCACCTAAAACGGTTGCTTCCAAGTCCTTGACCATTCAACTAAACTATTTGCAACTACCCATGAATTATATGAACTTGTATTTCTTTTTTTCCTTCTGTCACCCAGGCTGGAGTGTAATGGTGCGGTCTCGGCTCACTGCAACCTCCGCCTCCTAGGTTCAAGAGATTTTCCTGCCTTAGCCTCCCAAGGAGCTACAATTATTGGCATATGCTACCATGCCTGGCTAATTTTGTATTTTTAGTAGAGGTGGGGTTTCTCCATGTTGGTCAGGCTGGACTTGAACTCCTGACCTCAGGTGATCCACCCACCTCAGCCTCCAAAAGTGCTGGGATTACAGGTGTGAGCCACCGGGCCCAGCCATGAACTTGTATTTCTAGCCATCTCTCTCTCCAGACATATAGATGACCAAATGTCACACTTGAAGTTCTGGTTACTTGGAGAATGTTCCTTCACCACTGTTCTTCAGGTTTACCCTTTTGTGGGGTTGCAGTGCTGTAGCTGCTCTTTCCAGATGGTGCTAGCATATTGTGAAGACCTATCTCTATGTCAAGCTCAGGATATTTCTTCCTCAGTCACTTGGTTATAAGGAGATTCCCAAAATACCATTGTTGCAGGTTATTCTGCGACCATTCCTGGTAGCAATTCTGTATTGTTCCATGTTTACTCAGGAGATAAAAAATCACACAGTCATTTAAGGAGGCAAAATTTAATATAAACTATTATTAACAGAGAATTGGAATAATAAAGAATTGGCTAATGAGAGTCAAAATAATTCTATAAGTACATTAATATAATATAAAATGTGACCACTACCCATAGTGCTGAGATAAGTACCCAAGGACAAGCCCTCTCTTGCTAGGAGTGAGATCTAGATGTCACTGCCTTAGCTCCACCTTAGCTTTCTGAATGTTGGAGAAATCAGTGAAGTACCTCATGGTAGGACTCAATGGAAATATACCCTCTTGTTGGTGTTGAGCCTCAGAACTTGTTAGGTGCCA